TCCAGAGTTCGTTAGGTGGCTCCAGAGTTCGTTAGACAAGACAGACACATGCAAGTGATGTTGGTTGTGATGTCATCGCAGGCCTCACTAATTAATTGTGTCACCATGGCAACAGCACCACCTCATTAGTGACAGTTTTAACAAGAGAAATGAACAGGAGGTCAGGAAGAGAAGAAGAATGGAGGGAGGAGGACTTCCTGTTTCTGGACGCCAACAGGAAGTGTGGCAGCAGTTTCCGTGGCGATAAGACTGGAATGTACACACAGACACACACACACACACACACACACACACACACACACACACACACACACACACAGAGTCATTAAATTAACTGCAGGAGAAACCTGAAGTTAGAAACTCAAATGAACCAGACGGATGTTTTCATCGATGGCAGAACAACAGCTTTGAAACACGTCAAACTCGTCTTTATTCATTTGCTCCTGTCATGGCGACAGTCTGTTCGTGGTCATTCTGTCTTGTTTTCACTTTTACGTCTCTCTGTGCTCCTGTGGTCTCCTCGTCCTGCAGATGTTGAACCATCTCCATGTCTCCAGATATCTCCTCTCTGCTCATCAGATATAGAAAGATGTTCCACCATCAGATGTAGAAAGATGTTCTACCATCAGATGTAGAAAGATGTTCTACCATCAGATGTAGAAAGATGTTCTACCATCAGATGGAAACTTGAAATTCCAGTGAGCCTTCCTGGTATCACTCTGGAGATATTTTGAAGAAGTTGTGGCTTTAAATCCTGCTGGAAGGTTCCAGGGTTCTGGTTGTTGACCAGGAGTTCTACTGGAGGTTTGGTTTTTAATGAAGGCAGCGATTTCCTGAGAGAACCTCCTCAGATGAACTCAACCTGAATTTATTTCAGCTCCACGTTATTCTAAATCTTCACTTGTCTGTCTCCACTGGAACTGTTTTACAGTCGTCGTGTTTCTTCTGCAGCTTGTTTTCAGCTGCATCTTCATTTATGGGTTGTTCTATCATTTAATCGATTGATCAGTGCTGTCAGTGATCAGCTGCTGATTGATTTGTGTGTCAGGTGGTGTTCGAGGCGGTCAGCACTGGCCAGAGAGGCATCCTGGCCATCAAGGACATCATGCTGCAGGGACACCAATGCAGTAAGTGCACACACACACACACACACAGGCCCCGCCCCCTTGTAGAACAGGCTTCTAATTGGTTAACGAGGTTTGACCATTTAATTGGATAACGATGTTAAAAGTTGAGCTGGCATTGTGGAATCAAGGTCACCATGTTTTTTCTTAGTGTGTGTGTGTGTGTGTGTGTGTGTGTGTGTGGAGGCAGGGGAGCTCATTAAAATATAAATTGATTAGCATGGACTTTGATCCATCCGTCTGTTTATCTACCTGCTTGTCTGAAGTCTCGCATTTTTGATGTTGCTTTGTTGTGTGAACACACACACACACACACACACACACACACTTCATCGCTGCATTGTGTGTGTTTCTGTTAAATCTCCAGTAAACATCCTTGACCTGAACTTTTTTTCGCTGCCTGTTTTTTACCTCGACACTGTCCAATAAACTGATTGAAGACACACACACACACACACACACACACACTCACTCGCCTGCATTCTCCAGGATCCATTTTCTGATTGGATCAGGAGGTTTCTCGGGAAGTTGACCCGTTAGCGTGACGGCGGCGGTCAGCTGATGACGCCACCTCTGACCTCTGTGTGTCCTCAGTGAGCACGCCACACTTCCTGCACATCAAAGGCGTGGAGGTGAACGCGGGCCAGTCGGCGACGTTCCACTGCACCGTGAACGGACGGCCGCAGAGCAACCTGCTGCTGTACCTGCAGGTGAGCGTCTGAGCGTGTGCAGCCCACCTCGGTGGAGATGAGCTCAGTGTGACTTCAGTCTGTGTGTTTGTCAGGGGATGGGTGGTCGTCACGCTGTCGTCAAGGAAACCAAGCCGGTGAACTCCCGGCGCTACGTGGCCAGCTTCGATGTGGAGAACACGACTAAGGGCGACTCCGGACGCTACCGGTGCATCGCCCAATCGGAGCGGGGCGTGGGCGTGTCCTCCTACGCGGACCTCACAGTCAAACGTGAGTTCTGCTGGTGACTGAATGTTCTGACGTGTTTTCATCGTGAGCAGAAAATGTTCCTGCTGCTGCTCTGATGTTTGTCTTTGATTCCTGACTTAGAGCCGAAACAAGGGACTGTGTTCATTAGTGGTTCGTCAGCAAGGTGTTTTTTGTTAGTTAATTAGCCAATAAATAAGCTGTCTGGTGTATAAAATATCAGAAAACTCAAAGGAAAGAATCAGTCGTCACCACGACCTGCGTGTGGAACACAGTTCTTTTCATCCATTCTTCCATCTCTGGGCTCTGGAAACAGTTCGGCTCATGTTGTGATGATCGTGTTTACCGTCTTTTCATTTGATAGTTTAATATTAAACCAGCATCACTTCTACGTAAGTGGGTTGTGTTTCTGTTTCACCTCCAGAATTAAATGACTTGTAAATAAACCTGCAGAATATTTCCTGATGATCAATAAAAAATCATTTATGGAGGTTACTGAAAATCCACCGGAAAGTAGAACCTCAAAGAACCAATGTGAGTCCAGCTGTGGTTCCATCAGTCCACCTGCATGAACATGGTTCTACAACGAGCTGAGAGCAGCAGAACCTTCTCAGTTCTGGACCTCTGGACTGTGTCTATCTATGTCTGCATCATGGCTCCACATGGAGAAGACCTGAACAGAGGAGGAGAAACATCTGACTGAGAGACTGGACAAAGATGGAAAAGGATCCAGAAGATCAGTGAGCAGCTAGAACCCAGTGCAGCCCAGTGTTTTCCAGCAGGAGAACATCTCCTTGTAGACCAACGGTGTCGTTTGTCGTGTTTTTCTGTCCAAGCAGGTCATTACTGGGGTTAAAGCAGAGTCTCGTTCGTTTGCTGTGTGAACAGTTTATATTCACGTTCAATGCAGCGTCTTCATGAGTTTCTATTGACCAATGAGTTACAAGTGATGCGTACCAGGTTTTTTTTATTGATCAGTGAATGTTTTTTTATGATGTTAGATTTTTTAAAGATTACTTCTGAAACGTTTTGACCGTGAAGTAGACACACCTGCCCGTCAGCCCAGCGTCACCTGATCAAACTTCCGCCATGTTAGATGTGAGCAGGAAGCCGATCAGATTGATATCAATCACCGCTGATCAATACTGTGTGATCTCTACAAACACACGACCGCTGAGGAGCTGCTTGAGTCACGTGACTCAAATCCCAGAATTCCCGGCGGTTCGACCTGCGACTGAACTGTGCGTTGCCCCACCGGTGATCATTAACCTGAACGATCAGACACCGTCACACACGTTTCCTGCTCAGTGTGAGTCTTTGACAGAGGAAGTGGGTCAGGAGGAAGTGGAGCAGCTCCACCGGGGATTCTGGGTAATAGAATCCAGGTCTGCTGTGATTCGCCGAAGGTCACGAATATTAATTAACTCCTTAACTCTTTCCTGTCTCGTTATATCGGTGAAACCCTGAGGAGTGTGTGTCCGTGTGTGTGGTTCTCTGTGTCTAAAACTGATCCTGGTTCTGTTGGTTCTTCAGAGCCCCCAGTTCCGATCGCCCCCCCTCAGCTGACCGCTGTCGGCGCCACCTACCTGTGGATCCAACTGAATGCCAACTCCATCAATGGAGACGGACCGATCATTGAGAGAGAGGTGATGTTGGACTGTTGATCTGATTCTGGTTCTGATGGAGGTTCTAGGTTCTGTGGGGGCTGTAAGAGTGTTTTTATGGTCCATGAGGAGGTTCTAGTTGTTTCTGAGCAGGTGTGGGTCCTGTGATGATTTTAACTGTGGCTCATCTGGGTTCTCAGGTGGAGTACCGCACCATGGCGGGTATGTTGATCGACACCACCCCTGTGGATAAGCCCACGCATAAGATCGGACACCTCGACCCCGACACCGAGTACGAGATCAGCGTTCTGCTCACCAGGCCCCTGGAGGGCGGTACCGGAAACCCTGGACCGCCACTCAGAGCCAGGACCAAGTGTGCAGGTGAGTCAGGTCACATGGTCACACGGTCAGAACCTGCAGCCAATCAGTGCTGGTGGATGTTCTGTCCTTCCTTGTCTTTTAAGATCAGTTTTATCTGCAGCGTCTGTTTGCTGTGGTGCTGCTAGCAGCTAGTGGCTAATTGCTGCTCCACACACTGATCTCATTAGGAGGTTAATAGCGGTGTCATTAGCACGCCTTGCTAAGCTGCGTTAGCGCTGAGCTCATCTGGGGGCTAATGGTTAACAGTGAGGTCATTAAGGCAGCTTCGTTAGCGCTGCGCTCATTAGCTGCTAATGGCTGCAGTGTACACATCATGCTAGCTGTTTCCTCAGTGAACGCACACACACTGCTGCAGGTGTGTGTGTGTGTGTATACAACAGACAGAATGTGATTAGCAATTAGCACGCTAATTACACAGGTGCTGCAGTGTTCCTGCTGCTGCAGCTCGCTAATCCTGCGTCTGTTGATTCTCTTCGTTTCGGTTCTTGTTATTGTTCATGTCTGCAGAACGTCACCTGATGCTGTTTGTTTTCTTTCACACATTTCATTAGTTTGTGATTCGCTGATTGTTAGGATCCCCAACAGTTTGTCAGAACCTTACATGGCACAAGAACGTATAAAGAAAATATTCTGCATATTCAAATATAATAATTTCCAAATAATAAATGTCACAAGCTGGCACCTGTGATGAGGGGTTAGGGTTCTGAAATTAGGTTCTAGTGGTCCTAGATGAGGTCACAGTGGTCCACATTAAATTCTGTTGTTTCTCAACCAAATTGTAGTGTTGCTCAAAGAGGTTTGAAGGATTCATGGTGATGTGTTCTTTTAATACCATGTCAAGCTTCTGGAGGTCTTTGATGAGTTTCTAGAGTTTGCTGACAAGTTTGGACGAGTTTCTGGTGAGGATAGTTCAGGATTCGGGAGGTTCTTAGTGAGATTCTACTGGTCTTTGATTAAGTTTGAGTCGTGCTTATCGAGATTCAAAGGTATGTTGAGGTACTAAAGGTCTTTGATGAGTTCCTAGTTAGTCTCACCAAGGTTCTAGGGGTCCTTAATGAGGTTCTAGGAGTGCTTGAAGAGGTCTGAGGGATCTGTGATTAGGTTTAGGTGATCATAAATGAGGTTCTAATCATTCATGATGGAGTTCTAGTGGTTCTTCATTGGGCTTTGGAGAAGCTTTGTGGGTTCTGTGGTTAAAGCGTGTTGGTTCTTCATGAAATTGGAGGTTCTTGATCAGAAAACACACCCAGTTTGTCAATGTCTATGATAAGCTCCGCCCCTCTGGGACTGTCAACACACAGAAACAAGCACTACATGAAGAAACGAGAGAGAGAGTGTGTGTGTGTGTGTGTGTGTGTGTGTGTGTGTGTGTGTGTGTGTGTGTGTGTGTGTGTGTGTGTGCTGCTGTTCGCTCTGATAAACTCATCTCTGTCTTCAACTCACTTTTATTTATTCATTTTACTGTCATTAAATTATGAACCAGGCTGTGTGTGTGTGTGTGTGTGTGTGTGTTTAATAATGAATGAGTGTGTCCATCATACAAGCTTTTGGACTTAGCTCTCGGTGAGGCGACTCAGCGTGTCGCAGACAAACTGCATCATCTAGTATTCTGCTTCATACGTGTCGCCGCGGCGACAAACTCTGTGAACTGATTGGACAGAAACTGATCACAGGTTTGTGTGTTCTGATTGTTCAGACGGTACACAATCAAACTTTATTGAGCTTATGTGTGGTGGCACAAACTGAGGAGTTTCCTTAAGAAAAGCGTCTGTGGCGGGCCAGCGGGTCGGCGGTTCGATCCCACTACAGGCCAGGGCCTCGTCTGTCATCAGTCACTTCCAACATTCCCACGCAAACGAGGAATTTATCACCTTGTACTTGTACTTAGGAATGTGTGTAAATATGCGTAAATGACCGAGGTGTGACCTAGCCACAAAAGGCACTAACGAAGCCCTTTGTGGCAGGGGGAGCACTAACGACCCATAAACAAGGGGGAGGAGCAACTCAGGTGTTAACGTCTCCTTCAGGATATCAGCATGTGGAACTCCCAACCAGTCAGTCAGAGCTGAAGAAGCCTCTTGGATGAAGGTGGAACGTCTTCAAGAAACTCAAGCGAGTCCGGTTGCTACCATGAATCTACCAGAATAACTCTGACCATGCGTACGCACATGACCTAGCGGTAGAATAGTGAAACCACAAATCGAGAGCATTCAGGGCTTTTGACCACCGGCCTGAGGTTGGAGACATATGCAGCATTTCCAGCCACCACTGAGCAGGATCAAGCCGGCAGTGTTGGATGCCATAAGTCCCCTGGTCCCAGCCTACATCCAGTTCCCTTACAGCCATCACCAACGAGCCCAAATCAAACGGGGACTCAGGCCTACATTTCCCATGATGCACCCAGACACTGTCAGACTCCAAAGCAAACATCTGCCTGTCAGACGTGTGCTGAAATGTGATGTTAGGTTGCTTGTAGTTTCTGATCTGAGACCTTTCAAACCAACGTTAGTGATATTTAAACTCAGAAGCTGAATGTAGAACATGTTGGAGAACAGCAGACGGGTTCTACGCTGCAGAACGTTCCACTGCTCCTTTCAAATCACAAGAAGAGTTCTGATCAGGACGATAACAGATTAAAGACTCAGAATCAAAGTGTGCAGAAATCCTGCGGCACAAATCATCTGTAATAAATACCTTCACATGAAGGTGCTGAAATACGACTTAATTAGAAACTGATGTCTACAGACGGTTCTGGTAGGTTCTGGAGGTAAAACGGTCCTTCCATCGTCTAGAACTGGTTCTGACCAACCACCATCACACATGCTGATATGAGCCTGGAAAGTTTACCCAGAATGCACTTTGTAAAGTTTCCTCTGGTGACTGATCAGAACCAGAACCACATCCAGGGTACCAATGATTATTTCTATGACTCTGTGTCATAGACATTAAACTGGTACCACTATGATCCATCCCATAATACTGATGCTACCAGCTGCTGGCAGAGGACATGAACAGAACCAGGTCCAGTGTTCAGACGGAGACACCTGGATGGATGTAGAACTGATCTGGTGTCAGGTTCTAGCAGAACCCAGATGTGTTCTTCCTCCTAAATGTCATGTGTCTATCTGCTGTACTGATGAAGTTCTGAGGCTCAGAAATGATGGAAAAAGTCCATTAAGGTGATCAATCTGGACCCTCCTCTGTGGACTTGAAGGACCTGGACCTCTGGAACATTCACAGTCTGAAGGTAGAACTCTGGTCAGGAGATAAAGGTTGTGCAGATCCAGAACCAGATGTTCTGAGGAGGTTCAGGAGGATCTCTGTTCAGATCTGGTTGGTTTTATCCAGAATGAGCCTCAAAGAAACGCAGCGTTGGTCGTGAAACAGAAACCTCTTTGTGGGTGTGTGTTAACATCCATTAAAGTGTGTGTGATGTTTGTCGAGGCTTTAAAAAAATATCAGATAAATATTTCACCTGATTCTCTTTCCACCTCAGATTTTCACGCTCTGCTCGTCACTCAGACATTTTAGTGCTTTTACGTCTGTATTTTTATCTCTTTATTTTCTGTCTGAAGGTTCTGTCCTGTAACGCTGACAAACATCTGTGCCAGATGTGCAGATGATAATCAGCAGTTACCCTCTCCTGCTGCTTTCCTTTGATACCATTAGTATAGAAAAGAGACGTGAAGCATCCAGAAGAAGGACCAGATGCTGATCGCTGAAGGAACCTGAGGAGGCGACGGAGACGAGAGCACTCGGACAGAACCAACATGCCAGCGCCGCCTCACTTCTCATTTATTTGCTCACCTTTTACAAACGGCATTAAATCCAGATAACTGAGCTGCAGCAGGAAGCAAAGGAACCACACGTTCACACAGCGGTTCTGTTCTACAGCCAGTCACTGTGACCATTTATCAGCTGGAGTTTAACCGGACAGCTGAAACGTGTTGGATGTGAAGCTCCAAACTGGACTCACTGGTTTCCAGTGAATCAGGGATTCTGCTCGTCTTCCTCCTTCATCCTCCGTCTCATATTAAAGCTGCTGATCTCCTGGAAATGAAAAATTAAACCTCGTCGTCTCCTAAAGTCACCTTCAGACATCCGGCCTCAGCACTCTGTTTGTCAGCTGATGGTCTGAAAACACATCACGGCCTTCGTTAACAAACTTTGTTCATTTTTCTGAATGAAGGTCAGTGTGACGCGCTTCGTTAACGAATGAATTAGCTCCAAACACAAATCAAACCTTCTTTGTTTGTCTCGTGTTTTCGGCCAGTTTCAGTTCTTCCTGAATATAAATGAAACGTTCTGATTACGTTCTGATCACGTTCAGCGGCGACGTGTTGAAGCAGGGAGTCGGCGCTTGTGTCCAGGTTGTGTAAAAGCAGCAGTGAGAGGGTTGGGCTTGGCTGTGAGGCGTCACTGCTCCACCAATCAGACGCCGGCGTTGCTCCAAATACAACCAATGAGAAGCAGAGCGGCGCACACAGCTGTACGCAGTTTGTTCCAGAACCAATATACAGAACCAACATCTAGAACCTGTGAACTCCAGGTTCTGATTCCAACCAATGATCCACATCAGCATTTCGTCTAAACATCTAAAACCCGGAACCTTGTCTGGTCCAACTTCATCACATCAGGATCAGGTTCTTCTTTAAATAAGCTGCTGAGCATCCTGGATAAGTGGAGCAGCTCCTCCACCAGGCTGATCCAGGTCCTCCACCAGCCTGGTGCAGGTCTTTCACCAGGCTGGTCCAGGTCCTCCACCAGGCTGGT